TGTTTGCTATTTGTGCTTTTTATTTGTATACTTATCTTAATGTAATTCATGAAAAGAATCAAGATTGATTCTAAGAGATTATGACTAAAGCCCTAGTAGTAGTATTTGATTTGGCATTGACACTTACAGGATGTTGTTCTCCATCTTGGAATCTTGGGACTGTTTTTTCTTGATTGGAAACAGTAACTTCATTAATATTAAAATACAACTGTCAACCCCTAAAAATAGGGTGTTGAGCCCCAAGTAATCTTTAAAACAAAACTGCCCAGAACAAACTCTCCCTCACAGTCCCTTGTTTGCCTAACATATCAGCTAAAACATTAGCTGATCTTCTTGTCCATTTGAAGCAAGCACCAATCTCCCTTGTGGGATGTCTATAAACCCAGGCTCCCAACTTGCTTGATTGTAACCAGTCAATTAACAATTTAGAGTCTCCTATCTCAACTTGGTGTGACCCCATTTGTTTGGCATATCTTACACCTTGAAGCAAGGACATCTTAGGACTGTTTTTTGCAGTAATTCATATATTTATCTCAATATTTTCTTTTTATTTTCTTCTGCAGTAACTCATATATGTTTTGTGTTTGGGTTGTTGAAATTGTAGACATCAGAATCTCGGAATTTGAAGGACTTCTTCTGCAATTTGCATAGGAGGAATAGATAAAGTTGTTACACAATGGCAAACTCTACAAAAGTTGTGGATCCCGCATTCCAGGGAGTGGGCCAGAGAGTGTATCCTTTTTACAAACAATGCATTTCTTGGTTGATATTTTCATGTTTCCACTATCAACTAGAAACAATAAAAATATGATCTAATGAATAACTTTCTTCCTCGAGCTCTCTTTTCTTATAAATGGTGAAAATTTCTGGGGTTCTTTCAATCGCATGTGGACTTTTGCAAGATAGAACACAGGATTGTTTTTTTTTTTTTTTTTCTTTTTAAGAATTAGTACAACTATCTTGGCTTTTCTACTTAACAATGTGCAGTGGGACTGAAATTTGGCGGATTGAGAACTTTCAGCCAGTTCCCTTGCCAAAATCTGAACATGGTAAATTCTATATGGGGGATTCATACATTGTTTTGCAGGTATTTTCAAATTGCCTGTTGTTTTTCTTTTTAATGTAAACCTTGACTTTCACCTTGCCCTTGTTATTAATATTTACATATACTTAGGTACCTTCGATCACATGTTCTTTCTTTCTTTTTCTTTTATCTTTTATTATTTATTTATCTTTTAGATTTAGATCTATATCTTTACTCCTCCCCCCATCATCGCATTAGGGAGGATAGGGACTTCGCTTTTGGAGTGAACATGATGCAGGAGCTGAAGAGTCAAAATTGGAATTTTATGAAACTTTATGCATTTCTGTATTTTTGGACAGTAGGGGTCTTTTTGTCATTTTGCAATTTTCTGTGGGGTCCATTGATAGGGTTTAATTTGTCTAGGTATAGTTTGTTTATATTTAAAATTTCAGAGTCATTGCATAAGTAGGATACTAGGAATAGAGTTATTGAGTCTTCTTTGAATTGAAGTAGGATATGACAGCTTAGTTTGAGTCCTACTAGGATTATTGAGTCTAACAATTTGACTTGTAGGACTATTATGAGTCTAACAGTTTGACTACTAGGATTATTATGAGTTTAGAGTCTATAAATATGTATGGACGTTTTACACAAAGGCAATGAAATATATTGAGTTTCTTCAGCTTATGCTAACTATGGTGAGTGATTCCCATGCCTTACAGTGATTCTAGGCACCCTGTGAGTGATTCCAGGTATTTTCTCTCTTCTTTCTCTCCCTATTTTCTCTCTTATTCCTTCAAGAAGCCATTACAGCCATCAACAGCCATAAAATTCTGATCCAAGAGACCATTCAGCATTCTCTAAGGACCAGAACTGAGCTGGTTCTACATCAGAACATCTTGTTGAGAATTTGAGATAGATGCCTAGGTTGGTTAAATTAGTGGCTGATAGCAAGTTTTTAAAAAGGTTGAAGGCATAGTGGAGGCGTAATGGCCCAAAAAGGTGAGGTGTAAGCCTCAAAATTTAAGAAAAATCGCTTAAAATTTATAAATGATAAAATAACATATACTATATCAAGTTAGAATGATAGAAGGTAAAAATATCCATAAAATAGAAGTTCATAAGCAATAAGTTCTAGCTTTAAGCATTAAATAAAGTAATAATCAACTAACAATTATAAAACATTTTACATTTCATGTTTCAAAATGCAAAGTTCTCTAATTGTTCAAATGACCAATTTAGAAGAAAACAATCATATAAAGAATCATGTATATAATTGATATTAGATTTATGGTAATCCAACAGTTTAGAAGAAAGTAAACAACTTTTAGTTAATTTGATCTATGCAAAAAGAAAAAAAAATAAAAAGAAAATAAATCCACTAGAAAAAGAAATGAAAAAACAACAAACTTGGGATGTTAGATTTGGAATAATAAGAAAAAAGTCCAACTTGATCTATCCAAGAGAAACTAGAAGGTAATGACTGATGGTAAGAACTGTAAACTGTTGTGTTGGTCCTTTCCTTTGATTGATATCCAGGCCAAAACATCCTCAACCATTGGTGCTGTTTCTAAGGTTGAGGTGAATTCTAGATTATAGTGTACCCTTGATGTTTGAAGCACTGTATTTTCTTTAGATACACATGCAACATGTACATAATTTCTGAAATTTTGATGTTCTGGGGGACACAGTCTCCCTTTTAGGTTCTTTGTGAACTCATATCTAGCAAATTTTTCTACAGACCACTTCTGGAAAGGGGGGATCTTATCTATATGACATACATTTTTGGATTGGAAAAGACACTAGTCAGGTTTGTTATTGGTATTATATTTTTTTGCACTGTGCAGTTGATAATTACCTTCAAACTGTGGTCTTATTTCATACTGTAATTTATGGAAATTGTAATAGGATGAAGCTGGAACTGCAGCAATCAAGGCAGTTGAGCTTGATGCAGTCCTTGGAGGACGTGCAGTTCAGCATAGGGAATTGCAAGGGCATGAGTCAGACAAGTTTTTATCATACTTTAAACCATGCATTATTCCATTGGAGGGAGGTATTGCTTCTGGGTTCAAGAAACCCGAAGAAGAAAAATTTGAAACACGACTCTATGTTTGCAGAGGAAAACGAGTTGTCAAATTGAAGCAGGTATTGGTTTTTCTTAACTTGAACCAGAGATATCCTTTTGGTTTGGAACTCTGGTTAGATGAAAAGAATATGATATTCTATTTCACATCATGCAGGTTCCCTTTGCTCGCTCATCACTAAATCATGACGATGTTTTTATCCTGGATACTGAGAATAAGATTTATCAGTTTAATGGTGCAAACTCTAATATTCAAGAAAGAGCCAAGGCTTTGGAAGTAATTCAGTATTTCAAGGAAAAGTACCATGAAGGGAAGTGTGAAGTCTCAATTGTTGGTAATGACTTCTATAATTATAATCTTGACGGTCCTCTCTCTGTTTTTTTTTGTTTTTAATTTTATCTAAAGGAGTATTTTCTGAACATTCACTGTGTTTACATTTTTCTACCTATATCTGCACTCCACATGCGGTCATGTGCTAATTCTTTATAAAATTGTAAATGGTGCTTGTTGTGATAGATGATGGAAAACTTGTAGCTGAGTCAGATTCAGGTGAATTCTGGGTCCTCTTTGGTGGTTTTGCTCCAATTGGGAGAAAAGCTGCAACAGAAGAGGATGTTATTCTGGAGACTACTCCTGGAAAATTATATAGGTATTTTATGTGTAATTCTATTATCTGTGAAAAGTAAAGGGGACTTTGATATCATTTATTATGACATCCTTGACATTATTATGATAAGTATGTTTTTCTTCATCTTATACTCAACTCAACAAAGTGTTATCCAAATGTTGGGATTGGGTACACAATCATGTTATGTCATTACACCCTGTCAAAGTCATGCCCTTGGTCATACTGTTGCACGGACTCCTGATTTAGTTGTAGGAACTGCTTGAGGCTGATGAGCATTCTTTTGCATTTTCTTCTGACAAGAGTTGCTAGTTCCATCCTTCTGAATATGTTGATATCTTGTTCGCCTATATGAGTCTTGTTGGAGAATGTACCACAGTCTGTGGATTCCAACTAGTTTCCTAAAGAACAGATATCTCCAAACTCCAATTAATTAGGATCCTTTTTCCCCACTTTCCAATATCCATTGATGTTGTAGTCCATCTCAATCTTCATCTGAGGTCCAAATCTACACACTTTTGGGTAGATAGTGACCTAGGATATTGTAGTTGATATCTTATTATCTAGTAAATCGAATTATTATCTTGTAAGATCTAGGCGTGGGACTTCTGTGGTCAGAGTTGGTAATGCACATTTGGGGTGCTTTAGGTTGGTTTGTCTGGGTTGACCATTCCTTACTTCCTTTTGTTTGGATTTCATGTCCTATACTCCTTGTATATTTCTCTTTTTTTTTGATAATTCCTTGTATATTTCTCTTTTTCTAGTAGAGTTCTTGTATATTTCTAAAGAAATTGAATTATAACTTAGTCACTTCAATTTTCTGTATACAAAAAAGAAAGTGATCAATAAAGAATGTCTTAATTTATTCCTTTAACTCCCAGTAAAATTTGTAGGAATGAGATGTGTGCCTCCAGTGGTTATCAGTATGCCCTGGCCAGCTGACCTCTTGAATGTTAATACTTAATGAGCTCTTTAAGCATCCCAGGCTTCTGCATCATGTCTTAAAATGACAGATCTTTATTCTTCATAGGTCTTCATGTTGTATAAACCAGCTGGTATCAACTGTCTGTTTTCAATCTCATGATTTCTGGCTTAAATGTGCATTAAAGAATCTATTGATTATTATAAACTCCATTAAATCCAGTATCATGATTGCTTTTTTGTTGAAGATATATGTCATTGAGATCATTGTCTAATTATACAGAACCTATTTCTTCCAAAACTTAAGTTACATGCTTTATTTCCTTAAAATTTTTAACATTCTTATGAGTTGTAGTTCTTATCCTTTTACACTCTCCTGTCCCTCTCCCTCTCTCTCTCTCAAGTTTTGTCATCTCATGTTTATATAATATATCCTTGCTATATTGCAAAATGAAGTTTCTGATTTACGAAGAAATACCTTTAGTTTTGAGCAGCATATTGATGTTCCATGAAATGTCTATATTTATTCATTTATTTGTGCAATCTCTTCATGTAGTGTGTATTTAGTCATATGGTCCTAAATGAAATCTCTGCTTGGTGTAGCATTACTGATGGTCAGGTGAAGCCGGTGGATGGTGCACTATCTAAAGCCATGTTGGAGAACAACCAATGCTATTTACTGGATTGTGGTGCTGAAGTATTTGTTTGGGTTGGCCGTGTAACACAAGTGGAGGAGAGAAAAGCTGCCAGCCAAGCCGCTGAGGTAGAGTATTAATTCCCATTCCTTCATGGTACTTAAATAGTCAGGAATCCTTATCTATTTACTGTTTCCTGTTAGGAATTTATCAATAGCCAAAATAGACCAAAGTCAACACGCATAACCCGGATTATTCAAGGGTATGAGACACATTCTTTTAAGTCCAATTTTGAGTCTTGGCCAGTTGGAGCAAGCACTTCTGGTGCTGATGATGGAAGAGGAAAAGTAGCAGGTAGTAGTCACTTCATTTGTAAGTCAATTTGTTTTCCTGGGATAAGTTTTAATCTGAAACTGTTTTATCTGTTAGCTTTGCTGAAGCAACAAGGTGTTGACGTCAAGGGAATGGCAAAAGGTGCTACTGTCAATGAAGATATCCCACCTTTGCTTGAAAGTGGTGGAAAAATTGAGGTCTGACTATCACCATTATTTTTCTACCAAAAGAAAAAGATTTTCACCATTGTTTTCTAACTGCATTTTCTAGTGGTTTTATGATTTTTACAAACTGGTGAACAATAAAATCTTATTGGAGGACTGAAGTCCACTAGTTTTTCAGGTATGGCGCATAAATGGCAGTGCCAAGACGCCAATTCCCAAGGAGGAGATTGGTAAATTTTATAGTGGAGATTGCTACATTGTTCTTTATACTTATCACTCAGGTGATAAGAGGGAAGACTACTACTTGACCTGCTGGTTGGGGAAGGATAGTATCCAGGTAATTTAATTTGTTCTGTTCATGCTTAAGCTATAAAAATATGAGTAATATGATAGTTCTTTTTCAGGCCTTCTCATTTTTGCACCAAGTATCATGTTTAAACAATCTAAAACAAAGTTGTACCATGTTATTATGGAAAATTTAGGTGGTGTTTGCCAAAGGAACCATTTTCCTTGTGATTTTCAGAAAATTGGGCCTCACAGCTGGTTTAAGCAAATGATATTTTCTCAGACATGAGACATAGAAAAGATGTTTTTTGTTGGGTTGCTCTTCTTTGTATTATTTTTACAAAAAACTGAAACCAGAAACATGTTCTTGGTTTTCTAGTATCAGAAAATGGATTTTCTTTGTGGTTGAGAATATATTCTTGATTCAGAATATATTCATGTTCTATGTCCAATCTATAACTGTCATTGCCAAGTTCAAGTTTACAAGAATTGATTAGCAGCTGAAGGATGCTGCTAGAATAATACTGCAAGGTATCAAGGATACAATGTTTTCTTGTTCTCCCAAGAGATACAGAACAAAATGTATGTGTTTATGTGTGTGTGTGTGGGGGGGGGGGGGTAATCAATGGAGATCCAGGTGACTACAATGTATGGATAAAGATGTACTTGGGGTTGGTAGCTGGATCTACCAGGGGTTCTGATGTGCGAGGAACTTTTTGTATGGTTATACACATTCTTTTTCTAATTAACAAAGCTCGTACTTATCAATCAAAAAAACTTGAAAGGGATACAAATCCATCTTACAACAAATATCTAGAATATTGTATAAAGGACCCACAGATGGAGTACCCATCTTGACTGATGAATGTGTGCTGCAGGATGTACTTATATTCCCTTACCTTTTATTTTGATAACCTTATTATTACACAACAATACTTGTACTGCTTCTCTGGTTTTCTTTTGTCTCTTTGATAAGTTGGATTTCTGGTTTTCTTTTGCAGATGGCTTAGCTAGGCAAGGGGTGATTGGGAATTTGGTTTTTTGAGCCCTGTTGTAATTGTTATTGTATCTTGTGTGTTAGTGACAGTTATGGGGGCTTGAGATAATTTAGCTCTCCTTGTATTATTTTCCCTAATCTTTTAATGAAATCTCTGTTATTGATAAAAAAAAGCTGGATTTCTGGTTTTCTCGGTAGTTGTAAATTATACTTGTGTTTGTGTTTTACTTGTCCTCTGCATATAGTCCTGATTTTTCTATACTAAGCATTTGTTATATACAGATTTTGAATTTATTGGTGTGTGACTGTATTACTGCATTGCAGGACGACCAAATGATGGCTACACGATTGGCAAGTACAATGTGCAACTCATTGAAAGGACGGCCTGTCCAGGTACTGTGTTCTACCATATGTCATTAAGTTTGTGTAGGTGACATAAGTTTTGTGGTTAAAATTAAACCTCTTGCAGGGCCGCATATTTCAAGGGAAAGAGCCTCCACAATTCATTGCAATTTTTGAGTCTATGGTTGTCCTCAAGGTACTAGTATTTTGAGTCTACGGACTGACTTGGTGTGTAAATGATATGAAATTACTGAACCAAGGTCCTTACCTTGAAAGTTGAAATTGGACTGCTATAGGTTAAATACTTACCTAATGGAAATTACTATTTATAATCCAGGGTGGAGTAAGTTCTGGTTACAAGAAATTTATAGCAGACAAAAATCTAACGGATGAGACTTATACTGCCGATGGTATTGCACTCATCCGTATTTGTGGAACATCTGTGCATAATGATAAAGCAGTGCAAGTTGATGCGGTATGTGCCCATTGTTCTATTGCTTTCACTATGATATCATGAATTGGATTCTGCTTATTTTTTTCCAAGACTATTACACACCCAAAGGCTACTCTATTTTACTGGGGTTTTATCTTTTGACATCAGTGACAACTATCTGTATTTGAAGAAATATGAATATTCAGATGCTTTTTTAATCTAATGAATCAATTTTGAGTTGCTGATCAAAAAATAAAAAAAAAAGAAAAAAATATGAATATTCACCTAAAATTTGGTCAAGTTAATGTAGTTGTTTCATATGACTTACTGTCCTATCCTACCAAGTACCAATTGTCATACAAAGCACATTTGCTACGACAGTGTTGTAGCCCTGCACTGAAACAACTAAATCAAAGCCTTTGGTTTATTGACATGGCCCCACCTTGAATTAGATGAAGTTGCTTATTGCTGGGGCCACTCGCTACTGCAGTACATCTAAGGCCATGATTTTCTGTTTTAGCCCTGTGCTACGACTGTGTCATAGCAAAAGTGAATTCATTGTCATATTCATTGATATAAAAGTTCTTTTTTGATGAAAGCAAGGAAAAAATTTATTTAAGAAAAATGAGGAAACGGAATAGAAAGCATAGCCCATTAAAGTGAGGGGGAAAAACTTTGGCTGTTCGGAAAAAAAAAAAACAGCCTGGGCTGGTTGGGAGATTCCTGTGCATGACATGTTACCATTGATGCGTGATAAAAAAAGTATTTGCAACTAATATTCTTTTAGCCAGAAAGACAAGCCATTAGTTTTTCCTAATGAGAGACTACACTGGAGAGTAGGGACAAGAAAGTAGCCACAGAAAACCAAATACAACCCCACCATCATATCACTGCCTGAATAGCGAGTCACAAGAAAAGTAAGGGTTGTGGTTTGCATCCCTGAAACTTTTGTGTTCTTAAAACCATGAATGGGCTATCAGTTATCACCACCATCCTTCAACCTATACTTTTTTTTTTTGATAATGAGCTAAAAGGAAATTTCTTCAAAAGAGAAAATCTACACTAACCAAATTCATTTAAGTGGGTGATGAGGTTTCACCTATACAACCAATGACAAGTTGACAACATCCTTAGACTTCAACTCTTAAACATCAACTTTGGCAATATCAGCAGAGTAAAAATCTGTACCAAATGAAGCCTGATTAATATAGTTGACAATAAACATGGATAATCTGACTTCTTTCAACAAGAAAAAGCAAGAGAAAAAAACAGAGAAACAAGAGAGAAGAAAGAATGAGAAAAGGGGTGTAGAAATCTAATCTGTTCTGCCACCACACATGTTGCTATTTATATTAAACAAAAAATAAAAGGTTGCAATGATAGGAATACCCCTGCCACCAATAACATCAGAAAAATAAAGAGCTAACAGCAAAATAACATAATAAAATAATAAACTAGTGGGACCACAAACTGATTAGCTCTTTTCTATACACTCCCCTTCAAGTTGGGAAAAGATATTTGACATTCCCAACTTAAATCTGTGTCTAGATCGACTTTGGTGACTGCCTTGGTGAAGAGATCAGCAAGCTGCATATCAGAGGCTACATAAGGAAGAAATGTCAGCCCACTTAAAATATGTTTTATTCTATCATGCTGTATCGGATTATGAGCAATGTTAATGGCAAATTGGCTATCACAATACAACATCAAAGGTCTTTCATACTCGATTCCCAATTCTTCAAGAAGTGATCTCAACCTTAAAACTTTAGCTACACCATTAGCTATAGACCGATACTCAGTTTTGGCATTGGAGCAAGCAATAACATTTTGATTGATTTCCTCCAATAGGAGTACAATACCTTGAGGTAGATCTCCTATCATCAATACATCCTACCCAATCTACAGCTGTATATACTTCTATCTTCATATGACCATTATTTTTAAAAGTATACCTTGATATGGACACCTCTTCAAGTAGGCTGATATCCTTTTAATAGCAAGCATGTGAGTTGTCTTGGGAGAGTGCATATAACAACACTGACAGCATACGAAATGTCAGGGCAAGTCAGGAAAAGATGGAGAAGCTTTCCTACAAGTCGTTGATACATACCTTTATCTTCAAAAGGATCACCATCTTCTACATTTATCTTATGATTTTGCTCAATAGGTGTGTCAGCAGGTTTAGCCCCCAATTTTTCAGTTTCTTCTAGGAGATCATGAACATATTTTCTCTAGGGAATAAAAATGCCATGCTTGGACCTTGCCACTTCAATCCCAAAGAAATACCTCAACTCACGTAGATCTTTCACTTCAAACTCTTGATTAAGCAACTGGTTAAGGGAATTAATTTCTTTAATATTATTCCCTATCATCACAATGTCATCAACATACACAACTAGGAGAGTCAAAGTAGAGCCTTCATTCTTAATGAAAAGAGTGTGATCAGATTAGGCTTGTACATAGCCAAACCTTTCTAAAGCAAGTCTAAATCTATCAAACCATGCTCTTGGAGTTTGTTTCATAGAATGCTTTCTTCAACCTATAAACTTACCAACATCTACATCATAAAAACTAGGAGGTAACTCCATACACACCTCCTCCTGCAAGTCACCATTTAGAAAAAAAAGCATTCTTAACATCCATTTGAAACCATGGCCATGAGAAGTTAGTAACAAGAGACAACGAAACTCTGATGTTGTTCATTTTGGCAACTAGTGTAAAAGTTTCCAAATTCCAAGTAATCAATACCATAAGTTTGTGTATCCCTTAGCAACCAGTCTAGCCTTGTATCTTTCGATTGTACCATCGACACTATACTTTACCGTGAATGCCCATCTACACCCAACAAGTTTCTTTCCTCTCGACTGATTTACTAATTCTCAAGTATAATTTTTCACAAGGGCGTCTATCTCAACTCTCATTGCGTCCTTCCACTTAGGCACTACTAGGGATTCTTGCACAATTCTAGGAATAGGAATTGCAACAATGGAATCCAAAAAGGACTTATATAATGATGAAAGGTGGTCATAAGAAAGAAAGTGGGAGATGGAATGGGCGGTAGATGAGGTACAACGATGCTTCCATTTGTATAGTGCAATAAGGAGGTCATTTGTAAATCTGTTCATGGGCTGGGTAGCCCGATGGCCCGGCCCGCACCCCGGTCGGGCTTGGTCATGTAATTAGGCTTGCGGGCTTGACCTCGGGCCTAACACAGTAAGCTCAACTGTGTTTTGGGCCGGGCTCGGGATTTGTCAAAAAAGCCCGGCTCGACTCTGCATTATATATTTTATAAAATATATAATATGTATTTTATATATTATATAAAATATATAAATAATATAATATTTATTAAAACATATATTTATAATTTAATATATACATTTTTTATTCTTTTATTTATAATTTCTCTCTCTCTATTCAACCACTTCAGCAGTACTAACAGTATGGGCTAAATTTTGGGCTCGGGCCCAGGCCCCGACTTCGGGCTTTTTATGAGGACCGGGCTCGGGCCCAGGTTGTTGGCCCGATGGTCGGGCTGGGCTCGGGCTCGGGACTTAGAAAAATCTGTTAATACAGAGTAAAAGCTCGGCCCGACCTGGCCCGGTCCATGAACAGGTCTAGTCATTTGTAGTTAGAATAGGTAAAGTGGGTGTAATACTTGAATCTGGTGCCGCAAATGAGACTGGAACTGGCCTGGACTGCTCATTACTAGGACTGACTTACCTCCACCATCGTCTGTGAAACATCCTCAATTCTTTACCTTTTGACAACTTCCCTTCATTTGCAGGAATAGGCAATAAGACTTCCTATGCAAATATATCCTGCTCATCGCTCCCCTCCTGAGATGAAACCCTAGGATAATAGGGGACATCTTCAAAGAAGGTAACATCCATGGGCACAAAATGGATCCCTGAGATGGGATCATAACAACAATAGCCTTTTTGATTTTGTACATGCCCAAGAAAAATACACTTGGCTGCCTTAGGATCAAATTTAGAATGGTTAGACCCAAGTATTTGAACAAACAAGTGCATCCAAAAGGTTTTGAGAGGAATAGAAAACTGTTCCTTATTAGGATACAACAAGTTAAAAGGAGCTTTTATATCTAAGAATTGTGAATGAATCCTATTAATGAGATAGTCAACGGTGTGAATGGCATCCCTCTAGAAACGTATAGGAATATTAGAGTTCAACATGATGCTTCTTGCAACTTCTAGGATGTGTCTATTTTTTTTTCTTAGCTACTCCATTTTGCTGAGGTGTATGGGGACAAGTGCTTTGATGAATAACCCCATGCTCAAGAAGATATGAGGCCAAGGGTTTTGCAAAATACTCCTTGGCATTATCAGATTTGAGACTTTTGATTCTAATCCCAAAATGAGTCAGAATCATCTGATGAAAACCAAGAGAAGTCATCAACAAATAATAGAAACTATTTGTACCCACCCGTAGCAGTAATATGGTATTGAACATCAAGAAACTCATAATTGAAGGGGATTCAGAGGTGGTGATAGGGTGGCTGACTAAAGATCAAAATGATTTATGGAAGTACAATAATGAGAAGAGGAAATTCAAGTGGCTGGTGCGGGAGATGGAAGTTAAGACATGTTGGATTAAAAGATCGGCTAATTCCCTAGCTGGCGGTTTGGCTAAAAAAGGGGCAGAAAGGGATTCATTGTTTTGGGCTAAGCTGTAACATTAGTGTCTTTGTCTTTTTCTTTTTTCCTTTCTTGAAGCTCTTTGCGACTCTTGGAATCTAAGTGTGTTTGTCTTCCACTTGTAAATTTTCTACTGATGAATTAATGAAAGTGTTATTGATAAAAAAATAGCAGTAATATGGTATGGTCCGCAAACATCGGTATGCACAATTTCAAAAGGAATAGTACTTATTTTATTATTCAATGGATAAGTTGATCTACAATGCTTTGCCAATTCACAACTTCCCTACTTCAAACTAGACACTTTGGTTAACTCAAACAAAGTAGGAAAAAGACTCTTTAAAGACCCAAAAGATAGATGATCCAACCGATTATGCCAAAGCATAATTTGACTCAGACTATGACACAAAAGACTTCCCAACTTCAAACATTCATTTTTATAGATGTTTTTATATTATTTAATAAATGAAATATGTTGTTTCCTGAAAACACCTTTAAACAGGTTTATTGGAAACCACATGATACAATATGATGTGCCCAATACGGGGTGTATCGTATTGATACTTTGGACCTTGCTTACTTCTTTCCATCAGTATACCCCAACCAACTGCAAATGGCATCATACTACACCTAGTCTTTGCTTTCCTGCCTCTAGAAATTAAGGCCACATAGAGATCCCACATGGTTTAACTGGTCTAAACATAAGTTCTCTCAGAATAGAAAGAAATAAGATCAAATAAGCATAAAAAATGTCCACACGCCTAAGTTGGTGCCCTTAATTGCTTGTATCACATTTCACCATTTAATGGTATGGGGTGAATCCCCATGAAATTGTTGCATAAGCACTGTTTGTAGCATGTAAACTTGTAGTCCCTGATCAACCCATGGGGGATTAAATAAACATGGCAAGCATGACATCCAGGGCTGTAGTTCATTGGATGTGAGTTCTAGACGTTGGAATGCCTCATTTTCTCAGAAAATCCTAACTTTAAAGCAAAGTACAATAGCAACAGTGTTGAACCCTAGCCCAGGTGGAAAGAAGATCCCCTTACCTCTATGCGCCTTAAATAATCCTACTCTGAAATGGATGAAAAGATGGCTGTACATGGTGCCTATAAAGCTCACACTTGTAATTTTGATAGTGGAGTTCAATACAATAACTTACCTTTTTGTCAAAAAAAAAAAAAAAGATGGCAATTGTTGACTTCTTACTCTTCCAAGAAAAGTGCAATAATTGGTGGTATACTTCCTAGTAACTACACTTGTTCATGAGCTGGCTAACCTAATGGGCTTGCTTAGCCCAGCCTGTTTTGAGGCCTGTGGGCTTGGTCTTAGGCTACAAGTATTATGCCCGCATATTTTTTGGGCCTGGCTTTTTAAATAAGCCTGGGTTTGAGCTTGAGACGACCCGGTAATTCTATGTATGTATGTATGTGTTTATAATACATTATATATATATATATATAAGTTTGAACTTAGGTGTATAATTATATCTTGGGCAGCAATATTTTTGAATAAGTTAAAAAAATGGAATTAGAAGATAGAACTAAGATATTGCATAATGTACATACTTTGGGCTTTATATTAGGGCTGGGATCAGGCTCAAGAATAGGTCCGATAATCAGGCCAGTCTTGAGCTTGGGTTCAGGCCTGGACGTTTTCTGTTAATAAGTGTTAAAGCCTGGCCTGAGCCCAGCCTGTGAACATGTCTACTAGTGACCCTATTTCCTCCAACAAATCAAGTACATACTTTCATTGTGAAAAAGAGATTCCCCACTTTGCTCTTGCCACTTCAATTCTCAAGAAATATTGGATGTCCCAAGTCCTTGATTTGAAACCTCTATTGTAGGAACTATTTCAACTTGCTAATCCCTTGTGTATCACTCTCTGTAATAATGATATTAACATAAATTGCTGGAATGATCTTCCTTGAAGAGGCATTTCTACTAAAAACAGAGTGGTCAACATTCCACTGTTGTAGTCCAAGCTAAGCCATGGTGATTAATGGTGCTCTGATACCATGTAATTGGCCTTGAATAGGCCACAAAATAATAGAAAGTAAGAGAAATACGTATGAAATAATTCTGGGCTGAAAGAAAGAAGAAAATAGGAGAGAAAGAGAAGAGAAAGAACAAGGAATTAGGGCTGAAAGCAGAGGAGATTGAACTGAACGAGATCTCCTAACTGCCACTTATCTTAACCAAGGTTCAAAGTATCGATATGATACGCGTATCGGCAGTATCGTATCGGTACTTAGAAACGCCCAAAACTCTTTTTTTTTTAGTTTTTTTTTTTCAAATTTTGGTTTTTGGGAAGCTAAAAACAGGCTTTTTTTATTAAAAAAAGTTGGGGTTCCAAAACACTGTATCGTATCGATACTTTAAACCATGATCTTAACTGAATATAAAAGAGAATTACAAAACTGCATCTGTTTACATAATGTAAAGAAAAAGACGCTTTTACCCTGCCACCAATACATATAAACAAATATATAACTTCTAACAGGGATGCACCCTGTGAAGCAATAATCAGGGGGGCAGGAGTTGGTTTTATAAACGATGGTAAAGAATTAAAGATTGGTAGGGAGAGTGTTGGAGATGGAAAGGTGGTTTTGAGAAGGTTTAGGTTGTAAGGTATCCTGTTTTTGAAGGTGTGGTCAGGGAATAATTTTTTACCTAAAGGTTTAGAGGAGGGTGGTTGTTTTTCCATTTCTATGGGTGATATCTTATCACCTATTTAGTATTCCTTTTTCTCTTATTAATGAAGTTTCTTTTTTTATTTATTACAAAAAGAGATACGAGCCATGCAAGTGCCTCATCCAAGAAAAAAAAGAGTTGTCCTTAAGCCTTTCACATAATGGTAAGTGAAAACATATAATGCCTCACAGATAAATCATTAAAGACATGACTACCATCAAATACATTAATTGTAATTTTGAAATGTCCAAATAAAGTCATTCAGAATGAAATCCCCCTTCTTAAAGACTTTTTGATGGGATTTCTTGTTTACAACAACGAATTCTTTTTCATCAGCATCATGGTTGATGACTAAATTTCCTTCTCACTTGACACTCTTGTTGAGAAGAGTTTGCTAGGAACTTGCGATATTTGAAATATACTTTTGCCTGCATGAACCTGGGAAATTTTTAGGAATTTTAGAATACCTGTATCTATTTCTGTACTTAAGTAGATGTATATTATCTTTCAAGGTCATTGAGAAGATAATTGCATGCAATAAATACTCTTACATATTTAGCCATAAATAYTTGTATGTCTAATGATATGATGGGAAATTTTCTGCCATTGTTCATCAATAACTTGCATGTGTGCATGCATTTTTTTATAGTAAAAGGAAATTTTGTTAAAACATATAAAAAAAGTTTCCAAGAGGTGATAAAACAATCTTACAATCACTGAAGAGAGAAAAGAAACTAATACACTCATTAACTCCAATTTTTAAGAAACCCTCCTATAAAAACAAACCCCATAATGGGAGACCTTACACAGCACTTAAAAGGGATAGGAACCATCTTCCTAACAAATACTCAGTCTCATTGACAAATCCATTGACTTCCTTTATGTTTTTTTTTTGGTCTTAATTGGTCCTCTATAGTTCTCCTTTTTTTAGGTCAATTTACTGATTGAACAAATGCTTCATTCCCCTAAGAAAAATAACCATTTTTTTATCAAAGAAAAATAGCCAATTAATTTGGCAATCTTCATACCTCCATGACCTAGAGAGTTCCTTCATTACTGTTATTTTTTGGCTTCAATATTTATTTCTGTATGTGTCTGTGTGTGTGTATTCATACATTCTTGCTGTAATGTGATTTTTTCTGATTTGTTTTTCTTCTTTTTAGGTGGCAACATCCTTGAGCTCTAATGATTGTTTCCTTTTGCAATCTGGCTCTTCAATTTTCACTTGGCATGGAAACCAAAGTACCTTTGAGCAACAACAATTGGCTGCAAAAATTGCAGAATTTTTGAAGGTATGCTCTCCTATTAGGTAATGCATTCTAGTTATCATCTTTTTGTTTTTTTGATACATAATAATAATTTTTATTAGAAAGAGAAATAGAATGAGTACAACAGGGAAGCACACAACAACAATACAAAAATAGAGGAAAAGCACAAAAAAGGAAAAGATGGAGTATCATACCCTCTTTACCAGACGATGTTAACCTCATTGAAGCAAGAATCTTGCTATTTAGAAAACCCAAACCAAACCAAAATCTAGAACCCCAATACTGACGTCAAGCTCCTTTATATCAATTGTTTATTGGCACCCCCCACAATCAGGTACAATTACAAACAATAAGGCCAAATTTTGATGGATGCAGCTTTGGTAATCCGAGACAATTGGAAGTGGGTGGAGAATTCAGAAATGAGTACCAACACATATTAGAATTCTTTGGGGTTGGAGATTCAACTAAGGTAGAAATTTGAGCAGTTCTTATTGGCTTAAGAAAGGCAGAAGCACTCAAGTTCAGAAATTTGGAAGTTGAAGGTGATTCCCAAGTTGTAGTGGGCTAGCTGAATGGTAGCAAGGGGCTCTGTGGAAGCACAGATTATTTTGAGAGAGCTACAAAGATTAATGGAAGAGATAAGGATTCAGGTGAGATGGAAATCATCAGTAGCTAATGGGCTGGGAAAGCAAGGGGCATCAAGGGAACAAATGGATTGCGAATGGTTCACTTGGGGGGGGGGGATTTGTATTCTACAAGGTGGTTAGCTGTGGCTAACTATCCTCAAGGGCAAGGTTTAAAACTTTGACCCCATAGGCCCCATATCAAGCATATCGTATCATATCAGCAAGAAGGCTGGTACAGGAAATTGGGTGTATCATCTTTTTTTTTTTTTTTTTTTTTTTCTGTCATGCTATGCCTGTATCAGCTCCATTTTGAAGAGTAATTAGTAGAAAAGTGCTGAAATAAAAATCTGTAAAAGGAATATTTCTTGAAGAAGAAGAGAAGAAAGAGAAGAGAAGAGATTTAAGAGAGAAAAATAGAGCTTAATTCTGGTCGCCCCCTTCACTAGTATTTATATTAAAAAATATAAAGTGGAGTACAATGACTAATATGCCCTTATTGGGCGGCAAGCCTCTAAAAACACATAAAAGACAAGAAACAAAAAGAAACCATCTACAAAGGACCAAATATAAATGCTGTGATCCCCACTTCCTATTTAACAATTAACATATAAAAATTACTGCTAAATCTACACAAAAATGATTAAATCCTCAACATAATTAAAGGTGGAAAATGAGGGGGGGGGGGGGAAGAAGGCTTTTAACAAGCCTTGTCTAGGCGACAAGGCATCCTTGGAGGCTTGCCTCGCCCAGTCGCCAAACAGTTTTGCATACTGTGTAATAAAATACTTTGATGTTGTTACTTTTTTGAGATTATAATTATAAAATAGACATTATTAAAGAAAAATATTCATTTTTTGTGTTTATAAACTAATTTGTTTTTATTATTTTCTTATTTGTTAGGGTTTAATCAACACAACATTGATAACTTCTGTATTGAACCCTCAATGACTTCAAAATCTGAACCAATAAGTAAGGGAAGGGAAGAACTTAAATTTTTGTCTAATCAACACATTTCTTCTTCTTCTTCTTTTCCTATAACAAAAATAGGGGGTTCAGCCCCTATATTTTTTGAATTTTCTTTCCTTCATTTTTTTCATAAATATGTTGATTTTCTAGACTTAAACATGAAGTTTATAATTTTCTTATGAAAATTATTGATAGTTATTAAATAAATTTGGTTATGGAACCTAGGGAACTACCCTAGGGTATGTGATTTTTACTTGTAAAAATCCTTCGCCTAGGCGACAAGGCGCCCCCCTGTCGCCTTGACACCTTGGAAACTATGTTTCTAACCCCAAAAAGAAGCCTTCTTCCATGCCCAAAGCCTCCAAAACCTACTTCTACATTCCCAAAATTCTAGATCTGCAAAAAAAATCAAATCTCAAGTTTTTTGAATATTATACATAGCCATAAATAATATCTTGTGTCTTTTTTTGTTAATTCTTGTGCTTTTTTTGTGTTTTTTGAACCACAGTGGCTGGGCTTCAAAAAAAACCCAGTTTGCTAATTTTGTTCTTTCATTCTTGCTAATAAAAGATATTTTCTAGTGTTATTTATTAATATTATTATATTTTATATTATTTTTAATAATACTATATTATATTTTTTATATTTTTAATTTTTACTACTATTATTTTATTAATATTTTACATTTTTATTATAATATTTATAATAATTTTTACTATTTTATCTTTTTTAACTTTATTTTTTAATTTTTCATGATGTTATTTATTGATTATTAATTTTTTATTATTTTTATAGTATTAATCTTTTTATACACTTTTAAATATTATCTATTAGTCTTTTTTATTATTTGTTTAATATTTTATTGCATCAATTCACAATATTTTTTCTTTTTCTAATATTTTATAATGTTTTCTATAATAGCATATTATTTTAATCTTTTTCATTTTTTTTAAATAACAACTTCATGGGTAAATTAGTAAAATGCACAATTTTCAGACCTCACAATATTCAGATTATTGAACAATTCCACTATATTCAGATGTCTGCAAAAGCAGAAAAGCAAATTTCACTGAATGCTTTCAGAGCTTTTTTAGAGTTTTTTTTTTTCTTTTCAAACTTCAGACTTCAGATTTACTGAGCGCGACCATACTTTTTGAGTGAAATCTTTTGTCATCAAAAAAGAAAAAAACATGTTCTGCTAAATAATTTTATTCATTGAACCTAATAACTATTTATACAATTTTATTTCTTTAATTAATTATTTGAATAAAATCATCGTTTCAAGATCATGCTACACTGTTTCCTGGGGCCTGGGGCTGATGACTGATGGAGGATATTGCTTAGAAATGGTGGAACAGTGGGGGAGCAGTGTGGGGATAGATTAGACTGTAATCATACCAAATACATATGTTGGGATAAGGCCTTGATAAATCTAGTTTATCCGAGTACTTTATTAGAAATTAGTAATAAAAAGGAAAAGTCCTGATTGAACGAAGACCTGAAAGGTAAGTGCTTTAATTTCTTCATTGGCAACAATGCCAAGTGATTAATTCATTTCTATCATTGTAATAGTACTGTTGATTTATTGATCAAAAAATATTACTGTTGATTTTGTAAGCTTGGAAATATTTTATACATTCTTGTATTATTATTTAATTAATCACTTCTATGTTAAATTTCTTAATGGTTCAGCCAGGAGTTGTTTTGAAACATGCAAAGGAAGGAACCGAGAGTTCAGCCTTCTGGTTTGCATTAGGAGGGAAACAAAGTTACATTAGCAAAAAAGTAACACAAGAAACTGTTAGGGATCCTCATTTGTACATGTTCTCATTCAACAAAGGTTGGTGCTCAATCCTGAATTCCTAATCTTGTTGGTGCAATCTACACTTCAGAACATGGACATTAATGTTCTGATGAACTTGGTTAACTTTGGTATGACTTAACTCTGATCATTTTGTAACTGCTAAAATGAAGCTGCTGATCATTCTTTTCTACTTGTTCTTATCTCTTTCTATATTGCTATTACAATGCTGCTCTTCCAGGAAAGTTTGAGGTGCGTCTCATGCTTCAAGACTTTGTTAGACTTTCTTATGTTTTCATTGGATATCTTTGGTTTTTCATTTTCAACTGTTACTTCTAATTTATAGGTATCAGAAGTTTACAACTTCTCTCAAGATGATCTGTTGACTGAGGACATTTTAATACTTGATACACATGCTGAGGTATTTGTTTGGGTTGGCCAGTGTGTGGATAGCAAAGAAAAGCAGAAGGCTTTTGAAATTGGTCAGGTATTATTGCTCAGAAAGAACCTTTTTCCCCTAGCTTTTCTAGATTCTCTGATTTCACCTTATGCATTATGATATTTTTGCAGAAATACATAGAACTGGCAGCAAATCTTGAAGGTTTGCCTCCTGATGTACCACTTTACAAGGTCACAGAAGGAAATGAACCATGCTTCTTCACAACATATTTTTCATGGGATTCCTCAAAAGCCCTGGTATGTTCTGCAATTATGAAACATCTCTGATTAGGTTTACCTTGAAATATTTTTAGGGTTGGTACTTAACTTTGGCTTCAAATAATGTCAAAATTGGTGCTGTTGCAGCAAAAGTCAAAGACAGCACAGAAGCAGGAAACATAATAATCCATAATTGGACTTAACCTGTTACAAACTCTAATAATTCTATAATTCTGCTAAAAAAATGAACATTGAAAAGTTCATGGCTTTAAATTAACCTTTAACTATTGTAGATCCTCCAACATGGATGCATTATTTATGTGAACAACGTTTATTTTCTATAGTCTTATTTACTTTATTATTTTATTATTCTTCATATATCTTGTTCAATCATAAATGATGTCTTTATGAAACTGCAGGCTCAGGGGAATTCATTTGAAAAGAAGGTCCTGTTGCTCTTTGGCTCAACACATGCTTCAGAGGTGAATGCTTGACCTGGTTCACTATTCCTGTTTACTGTGATAAAATTATACAGTGATTTGGTTTAGAAGTTTCAAATTACCATCCAGTTTAATATCATGTACTCAAGGAATAGTTACGTGGATTGCAAAGGTTTGGAATTATATGATGCTTCGTAGGTGATGACCTTATATGTGGCATGTACTTGCTTTTTCTTATCTTGCCAATATTGTACAATAAAATGAGTGCTTCAAATTCAAGCTGTGTTGCTGATTTAGTTTGCCAGCAACTTTAGGTTAGCACTTTTTTGTAATATCACTATACTGTCAAAGGGGGCTCTGGTGAGTTTCCACTCACCTCGGAAACCTCTTCGAGGGAGGCTTGACCTCCTGAAACAGAAGATGGAGAGAAAAGAGAGAAGGGAGGGAAGGAAGAAACTGGAATCAGGGAGAGG